ATTTTAAAAAGACAACATGTGCTTGGAACCATATTTTGTGTGAGGAGACCGCAGTCCAGGGAGTGCCTGTAGTGGTATTGTGCTCCCCAATATATTGTGTACCCTAATAAACTTATCTGGGATCAGAGAACAGAACAGCCACTAGACAGACATAGAGGCCAGAAAATGGAGGCATACATGCCTTTAATCCTATCACTCACTCGGGAGGCAGAGATCCATCTGACTCTCTGTGACTTCAAGGCCACACTGGAAACAGAGACAGGCATGGTGGCACACACCTTTAATCCCAGGAAGTGATAGCAGGAAGCAGAAAGGTATATAAGGCATGAGGACCAGGAACTTTGGTCTTTTTTAGCTTTTAGGTTTTTGAGCAGTTCAGCTGAGATCCATTCGAGTGAGGACTCAGAAGCTTTCAGTCTGAGAAAACAAGATCAGCTGAGGGTTGGCAAGGTGAGGTTGGATGTGGCTTCTTCTGCTTCTCTGATCTTTTAGCAATCACTCCAATACCTGGATCCAGTTATTTCATTTATAAGGCTGGTTAGCAGTTTGTGTTATAAGTGCCCATCTCAGAAGTGTGGATTGAGAGGATTTCAAGCTGTCTCCTCACAATCACACAAACACCAGCTGCTCCCCACACCGGTTTCTTTGAGGTTTCACCATGGGCCCTTAATGATGTATGCTTTCCTCAGGGGTAACATTTTTGCAAATAAACGACATAATTGTCCCTATATATTTTAGAAGTAGAAATTTATTTTTTCAGATGGTTGTTAAGTGTCCATTGGACTTTAAATTTTTGTAGTTTGTTTTTTAAAGTACTTTATTGCAACTGATATTTTTCTTGATTCCAAAAATTACAAATTTTATATTCTTACACTATTTGTTAATTCTCTGAATATTTTTAATTAATTAAAACCTCTGTGGCTCACATATATCCATAAAATTAATATTCATTTATATCAAGAAGAAGGCATAAGGGAAATTTAATGAAAACATCTATTTTTGATATTTCCATTTTATTCATTTGCTTTATTTTTACCTAAGGAACTTGTAGTTCTCAATTATAGTATATTCTACCATCTGTTAAGAGGTAATATTTTAAAAATGATACCTCTTATTCTTTTCTAACATCATTTTAGAAGCTCTGGTAAATTAACAAAGAGGCTATCTGTCTTTAATATACCAAAGGTGTGGGTACGAGTGATACATTTCACAAAATAAATAAATTTATTAAGATTTATTTTATTTCTGCAAGAACATTTCAAATAATAATTAAGAGACATATTGGCATTGGAAATAAGGAGTTGTATCTGGTTTGTGTGTTAGTACTAGCTCTTTAAAATTTGAATATAGAAAAAAACTGGTGAGTTATGTTTACTAAAATATCTGGTATTTGCTTTTAACTTTAAAAAATTATACATTTATCTCCCTCAAGTTAAAGTAAAAAGACTCCTGTTTTCAGATAGTCAAACCTATACACAGTCATTCCTTTTCTGAAAAACATTTGAAATTGACAAAAACAGCCAAGGAAATAGAAAATCAACACAGGAAGTGTTAGAAACCAACATTAACTTTTCAATTATGTTACTGCAAATACATAGGATCAGATTTTATTTGTCAGAATCTGAATAATTATGTAGATACAAGAAAAGTGAGTTTGGTAATTTACCTTGAGCTAGAAGCAGAAGGCTCGCTCCTTTACCGAAGCTTTAAGTTAAATTATCCCTCTGAAAATCTTTATCCTTTTGTAAGTATTACTGTGGTTGCTGTTTAATAAGCACCTGCCCTGTTTTGCTGACAATTTCCCATCTATTTCAAACAAATGTGCTGTTGTACATTTATGTTGACAGATCGACTACATGAATGAAAAGAACGTTTTACAATCTACTTAGAACTCTTGAGACTATATTTCAGGGGAACTTGAGAAATCCTGTTTGTCACCATCTTAAAACATGCTTAACTTATTGTAGAAATGCAGTGAATTATTATTATTTTAGCTATAACATTAGTTACTGGTGCATATTATATTGAGAATCTAAACAAAGACAAACAGCACATGCATTTGAAGGGAGAAGATCTGAGCAGCAACTGAAAGCAGAAAGATTATTCATTTTCAGAGAACTCACATTTTGAAGTGCCAGGTTTTTTGCTATGATGGTGGTGGGGTATTAGCACCATCTAGTGTACAAAAGACTTAATTACTGAAATGATGAAAATCAGATTTATTACACAAGTTTTCTAAGACAAATGTTCTAAAAATTAGGAAAATACTCAAAGGAAATATGTGTACCTGAAAGCCTAAATAAGTGCTTAGTCTTCTATAAAATATACTGGTCCTTTTATTTCATCACATGTTGTTGTATAATGGCATCTTATAGATACAAGTTATAGGTGGGATATGTCTCAGGTTATTCTCTTGCCTTTAAAAGATATAGTTTAGAACAGAGTGGCAAGTTGTTATGAAATGAAGAAGTAAAAGGCATCTGGCAAGTAAAATAATTATAAAGATATTGTAGATAAAAAGTACTAGAATATGCCATTTAAGAACCAACATGTTGGATTTCATTAATACAATCATTTAAATATCAGGGTATTTATTATAAAATCAAGCAGAAGGTGATATTAAAAACAATTCTATTCCATGGCACTAATATTCCATAGCCATAATTCCAGCACTTGGGAAAATAATAAATAGGCAAAAGGATGGGTACATGGAAGGATGTAGGCACAGCTATTGTACTAAAATGTTAAATGTGGGCACTAGACATTTGCTGAATTGGCTTTCACTATAAGTTCAAATTTTCCTATATATCTGGAATTTTCTGTTAAAAATGTAAACAAAATGTTTCTCCTATGAAACTCAATGTAAAAACACAGCACCTCTAGTTTATTTCCCTACCCCAAACCATAAGAAGTGGTTAAAAAACATGAGCTAGTGTGTCTGCAAAACTTAAGTCCAGTTTTAGTTCTTCTGCTTTCAGATACCTTGAGAAAGTTACTAGATGTTTAAATTTCCACACCCTTAATTAACAAGATGATGATAATGAAAAATAAATGCAATCAAGAAGCACAAATTACTTATTAATTTTCTGCCCATTCTTTTTATATACTATCCTTAGTTAATCTATTGAAAAGTAAAGAGCATACAACACATGCAAATTTTGTTAATTTTATGTATTTAAAACATGTAACACATACTAATGAATAAACTATAAACATAGTATATTACTAATTATTATTCATTCACACCAAGAAACAGAGAATTTACAGCACCGCAGAAGATCCCTGTTTATCTCCTCCAAATGGAACAAGTTATCTTCAATGCTATCATTATGGTTTTGATCTTATTTTTTCACAGCTTGTGTATGCCTACATATATCCAATGTTGTTCTTAAATTTTATATTGATATTAATAGTCCTAGAATAATTGATACAACATTGTTGTTTTGCCTTCATTATTAGGATACCTTTCCATGTATTTTGTGGCATTGATGCTATATTTACCACATGCCCTGTATCATAAATGTTTATTAATTCAACTGTTGAGGTTGTACCTTCTAACTTTGAATATTAGCCATATTGTCATAATCTTTTCCACAAATGAAATTGGATTCACATGCACATGCATTTTTTAGATATACTTTCAGTGATACAATTGCTGACCAATAGACAATTGTTGTGGATATTGTGTTTGTTCTGTCTCCAAACCACTATGTTGAAACTGAGATGGGTCTTAGGGATGTAATTAAGTTTAGATGAGGTCAGGAGAGTGGAGTCATCCAAAAGAAATCAGCATCTTTAAAATAAGAGAAAGAGGTTTTATGCATCTAAACGTGTCTCTGTCTCTCTCTCCATTGTTATTTGGCTCTCTGCTCCCTCAATCCCACCCTCAACTCCCCACCTACTATGTGAGAATAAAGGGAAAATATATTCATCTGGGAACAAAGAACATTCCTTGGTAGGAATACATTGTGTTTAAGCTTCCCAGTCTGTAGACTTTTTGTCCTATCAGCCCTCATTGACTAAGACAGAAACACACATTTTCAGTTTCGGTGTGAGTTATGGCCTCCGTCCCCTTTTCTGTCCCCTTCATGAGAACTCCAACTTCCATCACATTAGTAGTTCTTTTCTTTTTTAAAAAATTTATTCTTTACATACATTACATCCCAACTGCAATTTCCCTTACCTCCACTTCTCCCAGTCCCCCCACTCCAATTCCCTATTGCTCCCCTACCCCCTAGATCCATATCTCCTCCATTTCCCTTCAAAAAAATAGCAGACCTTCCAGGGATATCAACTGCATATAGCATAACAAATTACAATAAGACTAGGCACAAATCCTCATATCAGGACTAGAAAGTTGTCCAGTAAGAGGGAAAAGGTCCCAAGCATAGGCAAAGGTGTCAGAGATATCCCCAACTCTTGCTGTTAGGGGTCCCATATTGGTGAAATTATTAAGGCCACTCCACGTAGTTAAAAGGATATTTATTTAATGGCGTAACTTACAAATTAAGGGATAGGTAGGTCGTGGGGTCTGGGGAAGGTGTATCGCAATCCAGGGTGTCCCCTGGAGCTCTGCTTGGTCCACCTCCACCGTTCAGGGTCCCCGAACAGAAAGAGCGCTCGCCCATCCAGATCTTGGGTCTCCAGGCACCTCCCATGGCCACGCCTCATAGGCATGACAGTTGCCAGAGTCTCAATGGGGGTTGGAACTTCCACATTAAAGCTGGAAAGGCTACCCGCTACAGTCCCACAAGAACACCAAGCTACACAACCATGACATATATGCAGAGGACCTATGTCAGACCCTTACAGACTCCCCAATTGGCGGTTCAGTCTCTGTGAACCCCCATGCTTCATTACCAGTTTTTAATCTTTTGCTTTCCCCCAAATGTTGAGCTTTTAAAATCTGTCTTTGTTGACAATACCACTTATTTTTACATTTAATGATTATTATGTCTATGTAAATAGGTATGTCAAATATTGGTTTGTTTGTATTGTAGATTGTAAAGGTCCTCCTCCAAAACAATATACAGAAATTCTGACAGGTTCTTGGCCTGACAAACCATATGAAGAAGGTATTCAGGCTACCTACAAATGCCGCCCTGGATTCCGAACACTTGGGACTATTGTTAGAGTATGCAAGAATGGAGAATGGGTGGCTTCTAACCCATCCAGGATATGTCGGAGTAAGTACACCATGTTTAAGAAACTTAAGAAAACTTTAGTTTTGAATGTACTACATGTTTTATGTTGTAACACTATAAAATTATATCACTATGGTAACTAAAAGATAGAACATTATTTTAAAATTTAGTAATACTACAAAATTAAAAATGGAAGTAGGCACTTAGCTTCAACTATAAAATATCCTTTGCTGTTTGGAGTTTTCCTTCTGATCAATGATATCCAAATGTGCTTGTTCTCTGAACTCCTACATAAGGTGTGGTCCATAGACTGTTGATTAATACTGAATCTTCTTCTTTTTTTTTAATTTTAGAAAAGCCATGTGGGCATCCTGGAGATACACCCTTTGGGTCCTTTAGGCTGGCAGTTGGAACTGGGTTTGAGTTTGGTGCAAAGGTTGTTTATACCTGTAATGATGGGTATGTTGTCATTATAAAATTATCATTGAAATTATATGTAAGATGTCTACAAGTTTGTACTTTAATGAGACTGAATTTTACTATTAACATTTAAAAAATAACATAAAGCTATCATGTGAGTAATTTTATTTGAATGCCATGCTATCGTTATAATATTGAAAAGTTAAGTGAGTTAGGATTATTCTGGCATAGTATTGAAATAAGGGAGTGTTAAGTCAGTACACATAAAAGTTAAGTGTTCAGCTGATAAATCCTACTACGTTCCACTATTTGCACAATATTATGTAAAATGGGACAATTTTATATATTAGGGACAATAGGAATTGTGAAAACAACTATGTTACATGGTAGCCCTCTTGAAAAGATTTTTATAGTATTTAAAGAAAGCAAGAGGTTTTTTTAGATTTTAACTTTTTAAATTAAATTAATTTATTTATTTTACATACCAACCATAGTTTTCCCTCCCTCCTCTCCTCTGTTCCCAACCCCCCCCCCATCGACTCCTCAGAAAGGGTAAGGCCTCCCATGGGAGTCAACAAAGCATAGCATATCAAGTTGAGGCGGGACCAAGCTCCTCCCCCGCTGCATCAAGGCTGAGCAAGGTATCCCACCATAGATAATAGGTCCCAAAAAGCCACTTCATGCACTGGAGACAGATTCTGGTCCCACTGCTGGGGCCCAAAAATAGACCAAGAAAGCAAGACTTTTACTTATGAATAAAAATTCTATCACCTGAATGCTATTGTTAAAACTTAGTAGTATGCACATTACTTTTATTATATTGGACTCAAAATCTAATTTTTCAGAATCATTGACTCTGCCCTCTGACCAGCTACTGGGTCTCAAGGTTGATGTCATCACTGAGTCCTCAGCTCTTCATTTTCTATCAGTTTTCTTCATTGCCACAGGTTATTTTTAAAAGTTCATATGGGAATATTAGGAACTCTATAATATTATACTAAATAAGTACAAATAAAATTAAACATTGTGAATGGAATCTTTTTGTTGCTCTTTATTTCCTAATTTGAGGTAATGAACTATAACAGTTTAAACTTTTCAGGTTTTGGAATTAGCTCTAAAGCATTCCCAAACTCAAGTACTCAATGTTCATAAACTAGAACCTCATTCCTATCCCCTCTACATATACATAAAGAATAAACACCGATAGAACCCTATTATGTCAGGAACTTTGTATATTGAGCTTCCATCACCAACAGAAATCTGTTGGTAAAATTACTGACACCTATCAATGAGAGTCCTCACACCATGTAGGATCAGTAGGTAAAAATAGTTCATGTTAATTTAAATTTTTATTGAAGAACGTTTTATCTATCTTGAGGAATACATGTTTGTTTGTTTGTTTGTTTGTTTGTTTTAACCCAGAAGTAAAGCTAAGGATGGAGTAGGCTTAGTCCATCCCTGTTTTTTTGCTCGCCTTTTTTAGTCCTATAGCTCTGTCTTTGTTTTTTCTGCTGGGTATAGGTTTAGTTACATATTATTTAGCAGAATGATTCCTATGAGCAATCATTTTTTTTTTGTCCTACATGTGGGTGATTTTGAGATGACATTGCAAAAAGTTTTTTTTTTTTCTATATGGAAAACCATTTTCTCCTCCTCTCCCCTCCCTCCATGAACATAGGTTCAGGAAAGTTTTGTGTGGAATTTTACATAATGTCTGAAGGAGCATGGCATAATAGGTTGGTCTCTGCTGTGGATGGAAAGTCTTTATTGGAAACTTGCTTTTTCTGTTGGAAGAGGACACATTCTGCCTCATAAGGGAGCTAGAGTATCACATTTACAGTCAATTATTACATCTCCTCTACAGCAAGTATCCAGTAAACCTTTAATTCCAAGCTCCTTGACTAAGTTATTCTGCTGGTGTTTTTTTTTTTTTCTATAAGAATTAGGGGCAAGATGAGAATAATATAAAAAAGAGAAAGTTTTTCTTTTCCTTAAAAATCTCTTACTGGAGGAATCCATGACAGTAAAGAGCTTAAAAGTACATAAGAATACATAATGTCTCAACACAACTTTATTTTGTTTATGTTTTTAGGTATCAGCTCTTAGGTGAGATTGATTATCGTGAATGTGAGGCAGATGGGTGGACCAATGATGTTCCATTATGTGAAGGTAAATAAAAAGCTGTTTGACAAGAATAACTAAACACCTAAAATAGATAAGATTTTTCCACATTTTATAGAAAAATATTCTTGAAATTTACATTTAAGTATATCTCATTCATAATATTTTATAATTTCTAGGATAAAACAGAACACAGCAGTTTTGTTAGAGTATTATTTTGTATTTCTATGTACTAAGTACACTAAGTCTAGAGGGTGGTAATTTCTCAGGGTTAGTGTAGATTCTCTGGGGGTCATGGATTTGACCCTTGGCACACAAGGGTCATCAATAAAACTAAAAACTATCTAAAAACATAAAAAAATACAAACAGAGATTGATAGGATTTTATGACCAATCTGATTATTAGAAATAACAAAGCCAATTTTTCTTTTATTTTTAAGTTTCAAAAAACTAATAATACATACATACATCCCAACTTAATAAAAGGTCAGAATTTGAAAGCTATATTCATGAAGAATGTCTCCCCTAATAACCATGCTGTTACAGGGACGTACGTAGGCCACCACTGTGGCAGAGAATGTAATTGAAACATCTATTAACAGTATGCTGCTGTGAAGGTTTTTCCACAGTCTTAACTTTAGCCAAAAGAAAGAAAGAAAGAAAGAAAGAAAGAAAGGAAGGAAGGAAGGAAGGAAGGAAGGAAGGAAGGAAGGAAGGAAGGAAGGAAGGAAGGAAGAAAGAAAGGAAGAAAGAAAGAAAACAGACAAGAATTAAGAAAGAACTCTCTATTTTTATACCTCTTGCTCCTATGTTCTGCAAATAGCAAGAATGAGTGAATACAGGTCTTGTTTGTGAGTTTGGGGAAAATAGTCCAAATCTCTAGTCACTACAGAAATAGAAAAGGTTCATTCAAACGCTATGTCCTATTTCCATGGAATGAAATAAGGGAGAGAAAGAAGAGCAGGTCAGAGGGTGGAAGGAGAGAGAGAAAGAGAATGTGATCACACTGGACATTCTCATGCCTGGAGAAACGCAGAGACTTTTCAGATAAGGAAATGAGAAGTGGTTCCAGGGAACACTGACATCAGAATTACACGAGATGCTTGTTTAAAATTGAGCTTTGGGACCACCAAATGGCCTGTCGAATTGGTATCTTTGGCTGAGCAGACAAGGAAACACCCCTAGGATATCTATTGCATCCAAAGTTTCTTCAGGCAACATAAACTTTGAGTACCTTCACGACAGATAAATTTTAAGTAAAAAAAAAAAAATGAACACCAAGGTGGAAAGGAAATTTCTCTATCAGAAGAAATATCTTAAAATTCATTACGTTTCCATCTTTTTTTCTTTAAGATTTTTTTTATTCATTTTACATGCCAACCACAGATCATACTCTCATCCTTCTTCCCAGCACCCCCAGCCTTCCCCCCAAACCCTCTAAACCCCAAACTCCCACCACCAGTTCTCTCCTCTAAAAGAGTAAAGCCTCCCATGGAGAGTCAGCAAAACCTGTTACATTCAGTTGAGGCATGACCAAGCCCCTCCCCACTGCATCAAGGCTGAGCAAGGTGTTCCATCATAGGTAATGGGCTCCAAAAAGCTAGCTCATGCACCAGGGATAGATCCTGATCCTACTGTTGGAGCACCTCAAACAGACTAAGCTACACAACTGTCTCCCGTGTGCAGAGAGCCTAGTCTGGTCCCATGCAGGATCCACAGCTGTTGGCATAAAGGTCATGAATTCCCACAAGCTTGGTTCAGTTGTCTCTGTAGATTTCCCCATCACGATCTTGACCCCCATTGCTAATATAATCCCTCTTCCCTCTCTTTTACTGGATTCCCAGAGCTCAGTCTGGTGCTTGGCTGTGGATCTCTGCATCTGCTTCTCTCAGTTACTAGATGAAGGCTCTATGATGACAGTTAGGGTACTCACCAATCTGATTACCAGAGTAGGCCAATTCAGTCACCCTCTCCACTATTGCAGTAGTCTAAGCTGGGGTTAGCCTTGTAGATTCCTGGGAATTTCCCTAGCACCAGGTTTCTTCCTAACCCCGTAATGTCTCCCTCTATCAAGATGTCTCTTTCATTGCTCTCCCACTCTGTCCCTTCACCAGCTTGACCATCCCATTCCCTCATGTTCTCATCCCCGTTTCCCTCCCTTTTATTGCTGCCCCACTACCCAGTTCCCAGTTTACTCATGGAAATCTCATCTATTTCCCCTTTTCTCAGCAGTGAATGTGTCCCTCTTAGGGTCCTCTTTGTTAGCTAGCTTCTCTGTAGCTTTAGGTTGTAGTCTGGTTAGCCTTTGCTTTACATCTAGTATTGACTTATGAGTGAGTACATAACATACCATAACATACCATTCTGAGTTTGGGTTACCTTATTCAGGATGATATTTTCTAGTTCCATTCATTTGCCTGCAGATTACATGATGTCATTGGTTTTTTAGTCTGTTATTGTCGTTTTTGTTTTGTTTTTGTTTTGTTTTTCAAGGCAGGGTGTCTCTGAAAGCTTTGCACCTTTCCTGGAACTCACTTGGTAGGCCAGGCTGGACTCGAACTCACAGAGATCCTCCTGGCTCTGCCTCCCAAGTGCTGGGATTAAAGGCGTGAGCCACCACCACCCAGTGATGTCATTGTTTTTTACAGCTGCATAATACTCCATTATGTATATGTGCCACATTTTCTTTATCCATTCTTCCATTATGGAGCATCTAGGTTATTTCTAGGTTCTGGCTATTATGAATAATGCTGCTATGAACATAGTCTAGCAAGTGCCCTTGTAGTATGATTGAGCATTCCTTAGGTATATGCCCAAGAGTGGTATCATTGGGTCATGAGTCAGATTGATTCCCAATATTCTGAGAAGTCACCATGCTAATTTCCAAAGTGGCTGTACAAGTTTTCACTCCCATCAACAGTGAAGGATTGTTTCCCTTGCTCCACATCCTCTCCAACATAAGCTGCCCTTGGGGTTTTTGATCCAGCCATTCTGACAGGTAAAAGATGATATTTAAGAGCTGTTTTGATTTGCATTTTCCTGATGACTGAGGATGTTGAGCAATTCCTTAAATGTCTGTTGGCCATTGGACATACCTCTGTTAAGAATTCCCTGTTTAGATTTGTACTCCATTTTTTAATTGGGTTATTTTGGTATTTTGATGTCTAGTTTCTTGAGTTCTTTACACATTTTGGAGATCAGCCCTCTGTCAGATGTTGGGTTGATGAAGATCTTTTCCCATTCTATAAGCTGCCATTTTGTATTATTTACTGTGCCCTTTGCCTTACAGAAGCTTCTCAGTCAGGAGATCCCATTTATTAATTGTTGCTCTTATTGTCTGTGCTACTGGTGTTATATTTAGGAAGTAGTCTCCTGTGTCAATACATTCAAGACTACTTCCTACTTTCTCTTCTATCAGGTTCGGTGTAACTGGATTTATGTTGAGATCTCTGATCCACTTGGACTTGGGTTTTGTCCATGGCAATAGATATGAATCTATTTGCAATCTTCTGCATGTGTCCAGTTATGCCAGCACCATTTGTTGAAGATGCTTTCTTTTTTTCATTGTACAGTTTTTGCTTCTTTGTCAAAAGTCAGGTGCTCATAGGTGTGTGGATTAATGTTAGGGTCTTCAATTCGATGTCATTGGTCAACATGTCTGTTTTTATGCCAATACAAAGCTGTTTTTATTACTGTAGCTCTATAGTAGAGCTTGAAGTCAGGGATGGCGACGCCTCCAGAAGTTCCTTTATTGTACGGGATTGTTTTATCTGTCCTGGTTTTTTTTTGTTTTTCCATATGAAGTTGAGTTGTTCTTTCCAGGTCTGTGAAGTATTGTGTTGGGATTTTGATGGGGATATCATTGAATCTGTAGATTGCTTTTGGTAAGATTGCCATTTTTATGGTTTTCTACCTATCCATGAGCATTGGAGATCTTTCCATTTTCTGATATCTTCTTCAATTTCTTTTTTCAGAGACTTAAAGTTCTTGTCATATAGGTCTTTTACTTTTTGGTTAGAGTTACCCCAAGGTATTTTATATTATTTGTGGCTATTGTAAAGGATGATGTTTTTGTTGTTTCTTTTTCAGCCCATTTATTATTTGTATATAGGAGGGCTACTGATTTTTTTTTACTTAATTTTATATCCCACCTCATTACTGAAGGTGTTTATCAGCTGTAGGAGTGCCCTGGTAGAATTTTTGGGGTCACCTGTGTATAGTATAATATCATCTACAAATAGCAAACATTTGACTTCTTCCTTTCCAGTTTGTATCCCCTTGATCTCCTTTTGTTGTCTTATTACTGTAGCTAGAACTTCAAGTACTATAATGAATAGATAAGGGGAGAGTGGACAGCCTTGTTTTGTTCCTGAGAGTGGAATAGCTTTGAGTTTCTCTCCATATAATTTGATGTTTGCTGTTAGCTGGCTTTAAATTGTCTTTATTATGTTTAAGTATGTTCCTTGTATTCCTGATCTCTCCAGGACTTTATCATGAAGGGATGTTGGATTTTGTCAAAGGTTTTTAAGCATCTAATGAGATGATCATGTGGTTTTTTTCTTTCAGTTTGTTTATATGGTGTATTACACTGACAGATTTTTTTATGTTGAACCTTCACTCCATCTCTGGGGTGAAACCCACTTGGTCATGTTGGATGATTTTTTTTTTATGTGCTCTTGGATTCAATTTGCCAGTATTTTATTGAGTACTTTTTTCATGAACATTCATGAGGTAGATTGGTCTGAAATTCTCTTTCTTTGTTGCATCTTTGTGTGATTTGGGTATCAGGGTATCTGTAGCTTCATAGAGTTTGGCAATGTTTCTTCTTTTTCTATTGTGTGGAACAATTTGAGGAATATTGGTATTAGCTCTTTTTTGAAATACTGCTAGAATTCTATGCTGAAAGCATCTGGTGTTGGGCTTTTCTTGTTTGGGAGATTTTTAATGACTGCTTCTATTTCTTTAGGGGTTGAAGGTCAATTTAAATTGTTTATCTGGTCTTGGTTTAATTTGGATATGTGGTACCTGTCCAGAAAATTGTCGATTTCTTTTAGATTTTCTTTTCTAATTTTGTGGAGTACAGGTTTTTGAAGTATGACATGATAATTCTATGGATTTCCTCAGTTTGTGTTGTTATGTCTCACTATTGCCACTTATTTTGTTAATTTGGATATTCTCTCTGCCTTTTGGTTAGTTTGGATAAAGATTTTTCTATTTTGTTGATCTTCCCAAAGAACCAACTATTTGTTTCACTGATTCTTTGTATTGTTCTATTTGTTTCTATTTTATTGATTTAAACCCTCAATTTGATTATTTCCTGGTGTCTATTCCTCCTGGGTGAGTTTGCTTCATTTTCTTCTAGAGCTTTCAGGTGTGCTATTAAGTGGCTAGTATGAGATTTCTCCAACTTCTTTATGTAGGCATTCAGTGCTATGAACTTTCCTCTTAGTACTGCTTTCATAGTATCCTATTAGCTTGGGTATGCTGCACATTAATTTTCATTGAATTCTAGGAAATGATTAATTTCTTCCTTTATTTCTTCAGTTGAGCATTATTCAGTTTCCATGAGTTTGTAGGTATTCGACAATTATGTTGTTTTGAACTCTAACTTTAAGCCATGGTGATCCAATAAAGTACAGGGGGATTATTACAATTTTTTTGTATCTGTTGAGATTTGCTTTGTGATCGAATATGTGGTCAAATTTAGAGAAGTTTCCATGGGATACTGAGAAAAAAAGTTATGTTCTTTTGTGTTTGGGTGAATGTTCAGTAGATATCTGTAAAGTCCATTTGAGTCATAACATCCATTAGTTTTCTTATTTCTCTGTTAAGTTTCTGTCTGGCAGACCTTTCCATTGGTGAGGGTGGGGTGGTGAAGTCTCCCACTATTAGTGTGTGAGGTTTGATGTGCAATTTAAACTTTAGTAATGTTTCTTTTACAAATTTTGGTGCCCTTGTATTTGGGGCATTAATGTTCACAATTGAGACTTCAATTTGATGGATTTTTCCTGTGATGAATATGAATTTATTATTTTGCATAAATAATGAATACATTAATTTTAGTTTGAAGTCTATTTTGTTAGATATTAGGATAGCTATACCAGCTTGCCTCTTAAGTCCATTTGACTACAAAGTCCTTTCCCAACCCTTTACTCTGAGGTAGTGTCTGTCTTTGAAGTTGAGTTGTGTTTCTTGTATGCAGCAGTATCCTGTTTTTGTATCCATTCTGTTAGCCTGTGTCTTTTTATAGGTGAATTGAATCCATTGATATTAAGGGATATTAATGACCAGTGATAGTTAATTCCTGTTATATTTTGGTGATAGTGTGTGTGTTTTCTTTCTTTGGGATTTGCTGCTGTAGTATTATCTATTGCCTGTGTTTTTGTGAGTACATCTAGCTTCCTTAGATTTGAGTTTTTGTTTTTTGTTTTTTTCAAGTGCTTTCTGTAGGGCTAGATTTGTCAATAGGTATTGTTTAAATCTGATTTTGTTGTGGAATATCTTGTTTCCTCCATCTATGGTGATTGAGAGTTTTGCTGGGTATAATAGTCTGGGCTGGCATTTTTGGTCCCTTAGTGTCTGCATAGCATCTGTCCAGGACCTTCTGGCTTTCAGAGTCTCCATTGAGAAGTTGGGTGTTATTCCGATAGGTCTGCATTCATAAGTTACCTGGCCTTTTTCCTTACAACTCTTAATAATCTTTCTTTATTCTGTATGTTTAGTTGTTTGATTATTTATGCAGCAAGGGGTCTTTTGGGTCCAGTCTATTTGGTGTTGTGTAAGCTTCTTTTATCATCATAGGCATTTCCTTCTTTAAATTGGGAAAGTTTTCTTCTATGATTTTGTTGAATATATTTTCTGTGCCTTTGAGCTGATATTTTTCTCCTGTTATTTCTATCCCTATTATTCTTAGGTTTGAGCTCTTCATGGTGTCCCAAATTTCCTGGATGTTTTATGTCATGACTTTGTTAGCTTTAATGTTTTCTTTGACTAATGAATCTATTTCCCCTATTGTATCTTCAACACCAGAGATTCCCTCTTCCATCTCTTGTATTCTGTTGGTTATGCTTGCATCTCTAGTTCCTGTTCATTTACCTATCTTAAAGTCAGTTTTAAGGTTGATTCTTCTGCTTCTTCTGTATTGGGATATTCAGGTCTTGCTGATGTAGAACCACTAGGCTCTGGTGGTGCTATATTGCTCTTTATGTTGTTTAATATATTTTTCCACTGGCATATACCCATCTATTCTTCTAATCAGTGCAAATGGTGTCTGCTTCTGAGGGAGCCTCTTTTGGTCCAATTGGAGCTCTTGGTCCAATTGGAGCTTTTGATCTGATCAGAGCTGATGGAGTCTGTGTCTCAGAAAGCAATTGCGGTCTTGGAGGATGGGTGGGTTTGGGGAGTGTAGTGGGGCTTGTAGGTTACAGAGTCAGATAGGGGATGGTAGTCATCAAGCCTGCCTGCAGGAGTCCTGCCCACTGGCCTGCACCTGGGGCTGCCATGGGTGGGGTATGGGGATGGAGGTTGTGCCCCTGGGCCTAAAGTCTAGAGGCTGGGGTGATTGGCTAGGAGAACAAAGACTCACCTCAGTCCAATAGAAGCTGATGGAGTCTGTCAGAGAGCAGCTTCGATCTTCTGTTGAATGCATTCTTACATTGGCTTCTTCCTATCTCTTCCTCCCATCAATGCAAGTGTTGTCTGTGTCTCAGGGAGCTGCTCTTGGTCTAATTGGTGCTGGCTCTGTTTGCATCTTGGGGAGCCAGTGGGGTGTTGGGGGATGGGTGGGTTTGGGGGACAAAGTGAGGCTTGTAGATTATAGGGTCTGATGAGGTGTGGTGGAGGGAAGGCCTGCCCACAGAAGTCTTGTCTGCTGGCCTGCAACTGGAGCTGCAATGGGTGGGGGTGGGGGGCAAGGGTTGTGCCTTGGGTCTGGAGAACAGTCACTCATCTCTTGGTCCAATTGGAGCAGGCAGAGTCTGTGTCTACCCTGAGGTCTAGGGGATGGATGGGTTTGGGGGAGGTAATGGGACTTGTAGATTACAGGGTCTGAAGTGGGGTGGTGGTGGGAAGGTCTGTTTTCAGGAGTGTTGCTTGCTGCCCTACAGCTAGGGATGCAATGGGTGGGGGTGGTTGCTTTTACATCTTATTGGAATGCTCTGAGGCATTCCAATGCCACATTGTTCTGAGGCTCAGTAAAACATTTGTATTTGATTATTTCAGAACTCACCTTTTTTAAGAGTTTAGGAGAAACTTGCTATCATTAAAATTCAAACTATCATTCAAAGTGATAGTTTTCGCTTCCCATTCCCACAGAAACTGATAACCAAACTACTTATGTTACATAACTTTTATCTCTTGCAAACCATCATACTACATGTTTTGAAACCTTTAAGTGTTTTCCTCCAGGTCTATCCTGCTGATTTTTTTTTTTAATTCATATACACATATTTCACATAGAAGCTTTCAAGTTCTGTTGGTAAAAGTGATTCCTGTATTTTCAGTTGTTAAGTGTTTGCCGGTGACAGAACCCGAGAATGGAAGAATTGTAAGCGGTGCAGTGGAACCGGACCAGGAATATTATTTTGGACAGTTGGTGCGCTTTGAATGCAACACAGGCTTCAAGGTTGAAGGACAGAAGGAAATACACTGCTCCGAAAATGGCCTCTGGAGCAGTGAGAAGCCAAGATGTGTGGGTAAGATGAACATACTCATCTGCTTGGTATTTCAATGGTTTTAGCCATTCTTATAAAAGATATACATTTCTTCTTAAAGTACATTTTTAATTAAAACATAATTGTATTGCTCTAATGCTTACTAAGCATGGCTGTTTCCCTCTAATTGATTGAAGTTTTGTTTTTTCATGAACCTCTTATTTTACCTTCAGAGCAGCTATAGACATCATGTCCTCTTATAGTCTCTTTAATGGAAGTACCCAGGATGTCCATCATTACTGTGGCTTAATGACTTGGTTAAGATGTGAACAAAGGTTACTACCGGGTGTTGCTATTCAGAGTCTAACCTCAGCATTTCTGCTGTCTGTTGAAAGGAGAATTTTACAATGATTTTGGAAGCTAAAGGTTTATTGTATGTTTCCAATCATGCATCACGATGACATTCTAATATTAATATTATTATATTTCACACACACACACACACACACACACATTTGTATTGCAAGTTTACTGTCAGTTTTATTTATCTGAATTGTATCTACTAAATAAATTTCTGACTTATAACAAAGTTATATAATAAATTGTTAATCAATATTTCTTTGATTTTTGTTTCTTTCTTCTCTTCTTCTTCCTCTTTTTTGTCTTTTGTGTCTTTGTTTTTGAGACAGCCTCTCACAATGTAGCCATGGCCAACCTGAACTTGATATGTAATCATATAGCATCTATCTTATAGCAATCCTCCTGAAGGTGCCCCATGAGTGTTGAGCTATACTATATTTTTTAAATATTATCTAACATCTCCAATATTTTTACCACTTTTAACATTGTCTATCTTACACTAATTTCTTCTTTTTTATATTTCTTTCATTTTTGAGATTATAATTACATCATTTCCTTCCCTCAGGACTGACGATTTATTTTTAAAAAGTCTTTCTAACAACACTGATTCTTCATGAAAATAATGATATACTTATATGTACATTCAGTGTGTCATATACTCCACACATTGAATTTCATGGGTGCTATTTACATGCCTATAACTCATTGTCTATGGATAATGAAACATAGGAAATTCTGATCCTTGAGACTAGTTTTAAAGAAAGCATAAGGATGCAGATGAAGAGCAAGCATAGCAGCCCTCAGAAAGTCATGGGAAGAAAGATGGAAAGACAACAAGGTGCCCATGGCACAATGATGTCCTGAGCCTCGTCAGCTGTACACAGAGGCCCCACTGTTGCGTAAACTCATTACTGGGGAGATTAGAACCAACTCACTTCAGATAGGGAACTGATGACAGATCTACCACCAGAGTCCACTTTGGTGAACTAAAGAGTTTACTACTGTTGCAGGAATAGTACAACTCAAAACTAGCTGCATCATCTAAAGCCTGCCCTAGCACAGGTGATGGCTCACAAAAGCTGGAAAACTGGAACACAACGCACAATGATATGAGGGTCTTCTAGGAAGCTCAGCTGATGCAAAAGTATTTCACAGCAGTCATTACTGCTTATGTATGCATGGGGAAGGAGGAGCCTAGTCAATATGGTCAATTTCAAGGACTTCCTGAAGCATTTGAATTGTTTACTTCCTGAGCTTAATGAGCTCCCTTGGAGGATGGGATGCTTTACTTCCCTTTAAAGTAGTGGTTCTCAACCTGTGGGTCATGACTCATTTCACAGGGCTCGCCTAAGGTCATCTGCAAATCAGACATTTATATTATGATCTGTAACAGTAGCAAAATCACTGATATGAAGTAGCAATGAAAATAATTTTATGGTTGGGGGGGTCACTACAACATGAGCTGTATTAAAGGGCAGCAGCATTAAGTTAAGAACCACTACTTTAGAGCATTCTCTTTTTGTAGGAGCATCCCTCCTACATGAAGTGTTTTATCTTAGAGAGAATTGTTACTCAACAGTTGAACAGAGGTGATAAGTCAGTAAGAGAAGGAGCACAGGCCAGCACAGTTACTGTATAGGTTTGTCCAGATTAACTCAGCTTGATTTGGAAAAGGATGAAACATATTCAAAGTGACCATTTAAAAGTTTATTTAGTTATAAACAAGGAAAAATGAAATAAAAAGATGGGAGGAAAGGCTTTGAGAAACCAGTTGCTAGTGCCACAGTCCCAGAGTAGTGTGTGTTAAGAGAAGTGTGTTAAAAGTGGTAGCCAGGACTTCTCTAGGTTTCTTTTCTTATTTTTTCTTTAACAAAAAGTTCCTATCTATGGTGAAGACAGCAAAGCAGAAGCCTGTGATTTTTCAAAGATCAAATGGAAAGTGACTTTAATAGAATTCCTTAAAAAAAAATGAGGTCTTGAAAATTACTATCAATAATCAGAAGATATGCTATTTTTCAGATTATCCAATGCAAATATTAACCTGCAAGCCTGTGTCTGTCTTCATTTTCACAGGAATCTGTGGACTGTTACAGGCTGCTATTTATTTCAACAGGCTAATTTACCATATGTTAAAGTAATATACTTTTAACTTTTTTCAAAAGTGAATATTTGAAACACCAAATATATAATTAAGAAAACAGTCAGGCCAAAACAATTGTTGTTTGGTTGGCTAGTTTTGGCTGATTGACCTAATGAGAACAAAACACTGTCCTTGTGAAAATATGGCTTGCTCAGCAAATTTCCTTTCATAGTAAACATTATACAATTATTCTTTTGCATTTAGAAATTTCCTGCACACCACCAGAAATTAAAAATGGAAATGGTATATTTAATAAACCAGTTTACAAGGTGAATGAAAGGTATCAATATAAATGTAACCGAGGTTTTCATTTCAAAGAAAGAGGGGATACTGTCTGCACAGCTTCCGGATGGAATCCTCAGCCTTCCTGTGAAGGTAAAATTACTCTTATTTTCTAAGTCTTTTTTATTTAAGAAGTAGGCTAGTGAGTGGAAAAGAATGATGGCTGTATTCATGCTTTGCTTTGAGCTGCCAGCTCACAAAAAACGACATGGAGACTTATTATGAAAGCTCAGCTTATAGCTTAGGCTTGTCTCATTAGCTCTGATAACTTAAATCAACCCATTTCTATTCATCTACGTGTTGCCACCTGGCTTGTGGCTTTTACCTCTCCTCCTGCATATCTGTTTACTCTGCCTCTGCTGGTGACTCCTTGTTTCTTCCTCTCCAAATCCTGTCTGTACCCAGAAGTCCCACCTAACCTCTTCTTGCCTAGCTAACGGCCATTCAGCTCTTTGGCATGTGATTCCTGTCCACAAAATTGTCTATTTCTTTTAGATTTTCCAATTTTGTGGAGTACAGGATTTTGAAGTATGACCTGATGATTCTCTGGATTTCCTCAGTGGTAGTTGTTGTGTCTCACTTTTCATTTCTGATTTTGCTAATTTGGATGCTCTCTCTCTGCCTTTTGGTTAGTCTGGATAAGGGCTTGTCTATCTTGTTGATTTTCTCAAAGAACCAAATCTTTGTTTCATTTGTTCTTTGCATTGTTCTCTTTGTTTCTATCTATTGATTTCAGTTCTCAATTTGGTTATTTCCTGGCATCTATTCCTCCTGGGTGACTTTGCTTCTTCGTGTTCTATAGCTTTTAGGTGTGCTGTTAAGTCACTAGTGTGAGATTTCTCCAACTTCTTTATGTGAGCATTTAGTGCTATGAATTTTCCTCTTAGCACTGCTTTCATAGTGTCCCATAGTATGGGTATGTAGTACATATATTTTTATTGAACTCTAGGAAGTCTTTAATTTCTCCATTTATTTCTTCCTTGACCCATTGTTGATTCAGTTGAGCATTATTCAGTTTTCTGTAATTTTTGTTGTTGTTGAAATCTAACTTTAAGCCATGGTGGTCCAATAGAATACAGGTGTTTATTCCAATCTTTTTGTGCCTGTTGAGATTTTCTTTGTGACAGAGTATGTGGTCGATTTTAGAGAAAGTTCCATGGAGTGTTGAGAAGAAAGTATATTCTTTTTTGTTAGGGTGTAATGTTCTGTAGATATCAATTAAGTCCATTTGAGTCATAACATCAGTTAGGTCCCTTATTTCTCTGCTAAGTTTTGATCTGGCAGATCTGTCCAGTAGTGAGAGTGTTGAAGTCTTCCATTATTAATATATAGAGTTTGATGTGTGATTTAAGCTTTAGTAATGTTTCTTTTACATATGTGGGTGCCCTTGTATTTGGGGCATAAATGTTCAGAATTGAAAATTCATCTTGGTGGATCTTTCCTGTGTTGAGTACATAATGTCCTTCTTGATCTCTCTTGATTGATTTTAGTTTGAAGTCTATTTTGTTAGCTATTAGGATATCTACACTAGCTTGCTTCTTAAGTGCATTTCATTTGATTGGAAAGACTTTTCCCAGCCTTTTACTCTGAGGTATTGTCTCTTTAAAGTTGTGTGTTTCTTGTATGCAGCAGAAAGATGCATATCCATTCTTTTAGCCTGTGTCTTTTTATAGGTAAATTAAGTCCATTGATATTAAGGGATATTAATGACCAGTGGTTGTTAATTGCTGTTATCTTTTGGTGGTTGTGTGTGTGTGTGTGTGTGTGTGTGTGTGTGTGTGTGTGTGTGTGTGTTTCTCTTCTTTGGGATTTACTGCTGTGGGGTTATCTATTGCCTGTGTTTTTGAGGATGTATCTGACTTCCTTAGGTTGGAATTTTCCTTCTATTGCTTTCTGTAGGACTGGATTTGTGGATAGGTATTGTTCAAATCTGGTTTTGTCTTGGAATGTCTTGTTCACTCCATCTATGGTGATTGAGAGTTTTGCTGGGTATATTAGTCTAGGCTGGCATCCATGGCTTCTTAGTGTCTGCATAACATCTGTCCAGGACCTTCCTGCTTTCAAAGTCTCCATTGAGAAGTTGAGTGTTACTCTGATGGGTCTGCCTTTATAAGTCACTTGGCCTTTTTCCTTAGCTGCTCTTAATATTCTTTCTTTATTCTGTATATTTAGTGGTTTAATTATTATGTGGTGAGGGGACATTTTTGGTGGTTCTAGTCTATTTGGTGTTCTATTAGCTTCTTGTATCTTCAAGGTATTTCCTTCTTTAAGTTGGGAAAGTTTTCTTCCATGATTTTGTTGAATATATTTTCTGTGCCTTTGGGTTGGTATTTTTCTCCTTCTTTTATCCCTGCTATTCTTAGGTTTTGCCTTTTCATGGTGTCCCAGATTTTCTGGACATTTTGTGTTATGACTTTTTGGCTGTGGTGTTTTCTTTGACTGATGAATCTATTTCCTTTATTGTATCCTGCACATTAGAGATTCTGTCTTCTATTTCTTGTATTCTGTTGGTTATGCTTGCATCTGTGTTTTCTGGTCATTTTCTCAGATTTTCTATTTCCAACATTCCTTTGTTTGTGTATTCTTCATTGTTTCTATTTCAATTTTCAGATCTTGTACTGTTTCCTTCACATATGTAATTGCTTTTTCATGGTTTTCTTGGCTTTCTTTAAGCGATTTATTGATTTCTTCCAATTTCTTGTTTGTCTTTTCCTCAATTGCCAGAAGAGGGCACCAGTTCTCTTTACAGATGGGTGGGAGCCACTATGTGGTTGCTGGGAATTGAACTTAGGACCTCTGGAAGAACAGTTAGTGCTCTTAACTGCTGAGCCATCTCTCCAGCCCTCATGAAGGTATTTTAAAGGTCATTTTCTTCTGGTTCTTCTACATTGTGATGTTCGGGTCTTACTGTTGCAGGAGGGCTAGGTTCTGGTGATGCCACATTGCTCTTTATGTTGTTGTATGTATTTTTCATTGACATCTGCCCATCTCTTCTTCTAATAAGTACAAGAGATGCCTGTGTCTGAGTGATCTGCTATTGGTCAACTCTGTGCTTGTTGTGTCTGTGTCTCAAGGGGCTCCTTTGGGTCTTATCTTAGCTCTTGGTCTAATTGGAGCTGGCAGATTCTGAATCTCAGGGAGCTGCACTTAGCCCAATCTAATCTAGCTGATTCTGTGACTCAGGGAGTCATTCTTGGTCCTATCAGGTCTCTTGCTCCAGTCAGAGCTGGTGGATTCTGTGTCTCAGGAAGCCACTCTTGGTCCAATGAGGGCTGGTGGATTCCTTGTCTCAGGAAGTTACTGGAGTCACAGACAGATGGGTACTGGGGTAAGGCTTGGGTCTTGTAGATCGCATTGTCTGATGGCGGGGGCATTTGGTGTGGGAGCCTGGCCACCAGGAGTTTTCCCTGCTGTCCAGCAACTAGGGCAGATTTGGGTGGGCCAATGTTCATATTTTTAAGTTTAATGAGAATTAAAATATTCCTCATTATTTGTATATGTTTCTTTTTAGAAATGACATGCAAACCTCCTTATATTCCAAATGGTTTCTACTCACCTCAGAGGATCACACACAGAGCTGATGATGAAATCACATACGGATGTAAAGAAGGCTTCTATCCTGCAACCCAGGAAACAGTCGTAAAGTGTACAAGTACTGGCTGGATTCCTGCTCCAAGATGTGGCTGTAAGCTTTATTTTAATATTTATTTAAATATTTTATTTAATCCTCATAATCCTGAAATTACACTTTTAAACATGGACAAATGGAGATAAGTAGCAAATATTTGAATTTTTGTTTGCATACAAGTTTTAGAAACACTTTGCTTTTAAAAGTAAGTAATATTTTAAGTAATAATAATAATTTTCCTTTTCAAAATAGATTCTTTTCTCATACAACATATTCTAATTATAGTCTCCTCTTTCTCTGCTCCTCATATTTTCTCCCCAACTCTCTTCACACCTAGATCCACTCCTTTTCGGTCTCTCATGAGAAAGTAAATGTCTTCTAAGAGATAACAACCAAACATAACACAGTAAATTATAATTAAGATAAAGTAAAAATTATCATCTCAAAGTTGGAACCCAAAAGGAAGAAAAGAGTCCCAAGAACAGGCACAAGACTCAGAGATCAACTTGTTGTCACAGTCAGGAGTCCCATAAAAATTCAAAGCTAAAAGCTGTAGTACATTCACAGAAAATCTGATGTAGACCTGTGTAGGCCCCATGCTTTCCTTTTCAGTCTCTGTGAGCTCATATGTACCTTGCTTAGTTGGTAGAATGGGGTTTGTTCTCCAGGTGTCTTCCTCTTCTATGAGATTCCCTGGGCTCTGTAAAGAGGGATTTGATGGAGACCTCCAATTTAGACTCTTTACCTAATGTCTGGCTGTAAGTCTCTGCATCTGTTCTCATCTGCTCACAGAGACAGCCTCTCTGATAATGACTGGATAAGGTACTGGTCTACAAGTATAGCAGAATATCGTTAGGGATTATTTATTTACTTATTTACTATTTATTTATGTAGTCTACAAGTATAGCAGAATATCATTAGGAATCGATTGATTGATTGATTGACTGATTGATCGATTGATTGATTACTAGTAGTATTCAGTTTTTATCCTAGGTCTGTGGTTTATCTAGTCTCTAGTTCTTGGTTGGGTGTGGGTTCCTTCTCATGGAGAGTGCCTTAGGTCAAATCAGACATTGGTTGCCTGCTCTCACAAGTTCTTTGCCACCATTGCCATAGCCTATTAGACAGGCAAGAAGGATTATAGGTCAAAGGATTTAGGACTGAGGCAGTGTTCACATTTTTGATAGTCTGCCAAGTACCTTCCAGCATCAAAGGCACTAGAATCTAGGGGTGAAGACTCTATGTAGGCACCAGATCAACTTCTCCATGTTCAATGAGTTGTGTGGATGTTCTGCTCTGCCCTGGGGCCCAACTGTCAGTTTATAAGAACAACTCATTTTTGTAGCAACAGTCTGGTTATTTTGGGAATTTCTATGAGATTGTCTTGGTCAACAACTCAACTGAATGCAACCCAGTTCCACTACTGGAAGCCTTGTTTGGTGACAAGAGATGGCCAGTTGAGACTCTGCATCCCCCCATTGTTAGGAGACCTCATTAGGATCACATTCATGTTTTAGAAAGTTTTCACTGTCCTAGGTTTCCATATCATCCCTTAAATACCCCTTAATTCCAGCTGTCTCTCCCCAATTCTCTCCCTCTACCCTATCTTCCCTCCCCCTCCACATTCTAGTTTCTCTTTCAAAAATCAGGCATCCAAAGGTGTATGGATTTATGTCTGGGTGTTTGACTTGATTCCATTGATCAATATGTCTGTTTTTATGTCAATATATCAATACCATGTGCTTTTTTTTTATTACTATAGCTCTGTAGTACATCATGAAATCAGGGATGGTGAGATATCCAGTAGTCATTTTTTTTCAGGGTTATTTTAGCTATCTAGGGTTTTTTTGTTTTGTTTTGTTTTGTTTTTCCATATGAAGTTTGGAATTGTCCTTTTTAGGTCTGTAAAGAATTGTGTTATAATTAATGGGGATTGCATTAAATATGTAGCTTGGTTTGGTATGATGGCCATTTTTTACTATGCTAATTTTGCAATCCATGAGCATAGAAGATCTTCTGCTATCTTCTTCAATTACTTTCTTCAAAGACTTGGAGTTTTTATCATACAGGTCTTTACTTGCTTGTTTAGTTTTACTCTAAGATATTTAATTTTATTTTACTTAGGCTATTTTGAAAGGTGTTGTTTCCATGATTTCTTTCCCAGTCTATTTGTCGTTTTTATATAGAAGGGCTACTGAGATTTTATTTTTAGTTATCTTTTATTCATCCACTTTGCTGAAAATGTTTGTCTGCTGTAGGAGTTCCCTGATGGAATTTTTGGGGCTGCTTATTTATACTATCATATTGTCTGCAAATTAAAATATTTTGAATTTTTCCTGTCTAATTTGTATCCCCTTGATCTCCTTCATTTGTCTTATAGCTCTAGCTAAACCTTCAAGTAATATATTGAATAGATATGGAGAGAGTGGACAGCTTTGTCTTGTTCCTGATTTCAGTGGAATTGCTTTGAGTTTCTCTCTATTTATTTTGAGTTTGGCTATAGGCTTGAGGTATATTGCCTTTGTTGTGTATAAATATGTCGCTTTTATCATGAAGGGTGTTTGATTTTTATCAAAGGCTTTTTCAGCATCTAGTAAGATGACCATATGGATTTTTTTCCTTTCTGTTTATTTATATGGTGGATTACATTTACTGACTTTTTAATATGCTGAACCATCCCTGCATCTCTGGGATGAAGCCTACTCGATCATACAGGAAGACTTTTTGATATGTTCTTGGATCCTGTCCACAAGTATTTTATCCAGTATTTTTGCATCTGTGTTCATAAGAGAATTTGGCCTATAATTCCCTTTCTTTGATGAGTCTTCATGTGGTTTGGGTATCAGAATGACTGTGGCCTCATAAACTGAATTGAGCAACATTCGTTTTGTTTCTATTTTATGGAATAATTTCAGGAGTACTGGTCTTAACTCTTCTTTGAAAGTCTGGTAGAAATCTGGGCTAAAACCACCTGGCCCTAAGCTTTTAAAACTGTTTATTTGATCTTGATTTATCTTTAGTAAGTGGTGGTACCTGTTGAGAAAATTATCCATTTCTTTTGTATTTCCCAATTTTGTAAAGTTCAGGCTTTAAAAAAATGTGTCTGTATAATTCTGTGGATTTTCTTGGTGTCTGTTGTTATGTTCCCCTTTTCATTTCTGATTTTCTAAATTTGGATATTGTCTCTCTACTTTTTAGTTAGTTTGGATAAGGATTTCTCTATCTTGATTTTCTCAATGAACCATTTTTTTTATTAATTCTTTGCAATGTCCTTTTTGTTTCCATTTTTTTTAAATTTCAGCCCTAGTTTTGAATTTTTTTTATTTATTTATTTATTTTTTTTGCTGTTTACTCCTCTTAAGTATGATTACTTCTTTTTGTTCTAGAGCTTTCAGGTGTGCTGTTAAGTTGCCAGTATGAGATCTTCCTATTTTTTTTATGCAAGCACTTAGTGCTATGTGCCTTCCCCTTTGCACTGCATTCATTGTGTGTGTCCCATAACTTTGGGTATGTTGTGTATTCATTTTAATGGAATTCTAGGAAGTCTTTAATTTCTTTCTTAATTTCTTCCTTTGCTCAGTAACCATTCAATTGAGACTTGTTTCAGTTTCCACAAGCTTGTAAGCTTTCTGTTGTTTCTGGTGTTATGCACAGCTTCAATCTATGATAGGATGCAGGGAGTTTCTGGAATTTTCTTTTATCTATTGAGACTAGCTTTGTTTCTGAGTATGTAGTCAGCTTTGGAGAAAGTTCCATGAGGTGCTGAGAAGAAGATATAGTTTTGTGGATTTTTTCATTGATGAGTATGTAGTGTCCTCCATCTCTTTTGATTAATTTTGGTTTGAAGCCTATGTTGTGAGACATTAAAATGGCTACAATGGCTTGTTTCTTAGGTCCATTTGCTTGGAATATCTTTTTCCAGTCCCTTGATGTTGAGGTGTGCTTTTTTATTTTTTTTCTTATCAATAAGTACTTTTTAATTTTTTTAAATTGACAAATAATAAATATAAGCTCATGAAATATATATATATTTTTGAACATACATGATATACCTTTTAATATTTATATTATAGGAATAAGTTGTGTTTATTCAATACATAACATATACATATCATACACATACTATATGTTATCTTGTTTAACATTCACAGCATCCCTCTGAAATAGAACCCATTTTTTATGAAGTTTTTATGATGGAATGGGTACTCAAATAGATTTAAGACAAGATCATATGTAGCAAATAGGGAACTGAGCCACTTGATCTCTGTAATCCACCATGCAGAGCTGCCAAGGCCTGAGTGGGAGGGCACTGTGAATGAGATGGCAATACTCTAGCTCTGGGGACCTGCTAAATGCAGAGGGCAGCCTTGGGTCACCAGGTTTCAGGGAGGCTTTTTTTTCCCCCCTAACACGTTTTATTAAACCTCATGAATTCAGGGAGTTAGGATTTGGGTTGGCTTGCTCCTTCTTCCACTCAGTGTCAATTGAGGTCATTGGTACTTAAGCTGGGATTTGAGTTGGTCTGAAGGATACACAATTGGAAGACTGGAATGTGGTCTCAGCGTAGTGGGACATTTTACATGAAGCTGCCCCATATAGGATGTACCTGGAGAAAACCAGGTACAAGTTTTATGAGCTCTTGTAATTAAGCCCCAGAAATCATGCTGAGTTTAGTTTGTTAGCCACCATGCAAGGAAGGCACCTTTAGTGGCAAACTCTTATACTCATGCTTTTTCATGGTGTCCTTTTCATTGTAAACTCTGTGGAAAAAAACAGACCTTTTCAGAAGTGCTCCTGCCCACCATCTTAACCTTAGAATACATGGATGGTCCATGACCTCTGGCTAAGTGTGTCCAGAAATGTCACCACTGTCTTTCCTTAAACTGCACTCTCAGAAATGTGCCCTCTATCTTTTTTTTTTCTCATCAAAACAATGTACCCTTTTATGAATTACGCCTCAATT